CCCCCTTCGATACTAGTACCGGTGCCCTTGTTCCTAGTAGCTTCTTGCTACTGGTAGTAGGAATGCTACTAGTAGTAGCGCCCTTTGCTACTAGTAGCAAAGCCCTTGTTCCTAGTAGCTCCTGGCTACTAGCAGCAAGAACACTACAAGTAGTGACCTTCGTTACTAGTAGCGGTACGCGTGTTCCTAGCAGCTTCTTGCTACTAGTGGTAAGAATGCTACTGGTAGTAATGCCCTTTGTTACTAGTAGCGGTGCCCTTGTTCCTAGTAGCTTCTTGCTACTGTAGCTACTAGTAGTGGGAATGCTATATTATATAGTAGTAATGTCCTTTGTTACTAGTAGCGGTGCCCTTGTCCCCACCAGCTTCTTGCTACTAGTAGTACGAGCACTACTAGTCGTAGTCTCCTTTGCTACTAGTAGCAGTGCCCTTGTTCCTAGCAGCGCCTCGCTACTAGTAGTTTCAATATGAAAGCTACTAGTAGCAACTCCCTTTGTTACTAGTAGGACTGCCCTTGTTCCTAGTAGATTCTTTCTACTAGTAGTTTCAGTATGCTACTAAGTTGTTACGCCCTTCGATACTAGTAGCAAAGCCCTTGTTCCTAGTAGCTCCTTGCTACTAGTAGCAAGAACGCTACTAGTAGTGATGCCCTTCGGTACTAGTAGCGGTGCGCGTATTCCTGGCAGCTTCTTGCTACTAGTAGTAAGAATGCTACTGGTAGTAATGCCCTTTGCTACTAGTAGCGGTGCCCTTGTTCCTAACAGCTTCTCACCGCTACTAGTACTAAGAATGCTACCAGTAGTGGTGCCCTTTGACACTACTAGCGGTGACCTTTTTCCTAGTAGCTTCTTGCTACTAGTATATAATAAGAATGCTACTAGTAGCAATGGCCTTTGTTACTAGTAGCGATGGCGTTGCTACTAGCCGTAGGAATGATACTAGTAGTAAAAATGTTGATACTACTAGCACTGCCCTTGTTCCTAGTAGCATCTTGTTACTAGTAGTAAGCGTGCTACTAGTAGTAAGAATGCTACTCGTAGTCATGCCCTTTGTTACTAGAAGCACTGCACCTGTTCCTAGTAGCATCTTGCTACTCATAGTAAGGATGCTACTAGTAGGAGAGCCCTTTGTTACTAGTTGCGCTGCCCTTGTTCCTATTAGCTTCTTGCTACTCATAGTGGGAATGCTACTAGTAGTAACGCCCTTTGTTACTAGTAGCGGTGCCCTTGTCCTAGTAGCTTCGTGCGACTAGTAGTGAGAATGCTACTAGTAGTATTGCTCTTTGTTACTAGTTGCGGTGCCCTAGTTCCTAGTAGCTTGCCCTTGTTCCTAGTGTCTTCTTAGAAATAGTAGTATGAACGCTACTAGTAGTAATGCCTTTTGTTACTAGTAGCGGTGCCTTTGTTCCTAGCAGATTCTTGCTACTAGTAATCGGAACGCTACTAGTAGTCATGCCCTTTGATACTGGGAGCGATGCCCGTTAGTGTGCCATTTGTTACTAGCAGCGGTGCACTTGTTCCTAGTAGCGTCTTGCTACTAGTAGTAAGAACGCTACTAGTAGTAGTGCCCTTTGTTACTAGTAGTGATGCCTTTGTTCCTAGAAGCTGTTTGCTACTAGTAGTAATGTCCTTGGTTACTAGTAGCAGTGCCCTTGTTCCTAGTAGCTTCTTGCTACTGGTGGTAAGAATGCTGCTAGTAGTAATGCCCTTTGTTACTGGTAGCGTTGC